ATATTACCAAAAAAAAAAAAAAATACTAATTCCAGCAGCCTAGAAAATCATTTTCCCACCAAAAAGGTGGGAAAATGATTTCCCCAAAAAAAATGGAAAACAGGTGCGTGGAGGAGTTGCAAGGAAAAGATTTGGATGTGAAAATATGGCACATCAAACAAGTCAAAACCAAGGAAAAGGAAATTATTTTCCAAGTTCCAAGGAAAAGATGGCCAATCAAACATGGCCTTAGGACAGGAAGAGTGAAGCTGAGCTACCGTTAGGAGGCGTTCCAAGTGAGCTGGCTCTTGCTCGCCCTGAGCCAGCTTGCCTCGAGGCTATTGGGTTTGGCTCGTCCTACGAGCTCCTCTATTTGTATAATAAAGACATTAATTTGTAAGAAATTATAAATTTGTAAATGCCGTTCTTTATTTGAGTTTGGGATCAACTACAATACGTAGGTAAAGTTAAAATTTACGCGGATTAGAATTTCATGAAATTTTTTTCTTTTAAACACTAATATCAATGTAAAGTATTAAATAGTCCTTGACATTTTAACTGGAACTGAACTTTTCAAACAAAAATCGAATAGGAGCCGAAGGTTTTGATCCAATTCCAAAAAAATATAAATTAGGAATCAGAATCGAAAATCGAGAATCGAGAATTGACTAGATTAAAGTCGAGTCTTGGTTCTTGAATCAGAATCGTGGATGCATATTTTTTTTTTTATATAAAAATTCACAATTTATAGGCTGGGAAAAAAATACAAAATCTCGAAATCCTAATTTGGATTGTGATTTATCTAAAACTCTAGACTCCAACCTTAAAAAATGAAGAATGTCCCCTATTTTATTTATTTATTTATTTATTTATTTTTTTGCCACTTGCCTCACGTTGGATTGTTGCATTTCAGAGGCCGGTATATGTTACTCTATCAGTTTGGGTTTAATTCAAGTTAAGTTGTGGTGTAAGTTGATAAATCAAAGAGTCAATCATTTACACTTCGAACTTTCTACTTTCTTTCAATGCTTACAAATTTAAGCGATTTTTTTTATTTTTTTTTATAGTTTCTTGAATTACCAGTAATTTTTGAATTTTTTATACAACATAAATTAATTGCATTGTTCCGTACCTCGACTTGTCAATTTGTACCTTGGTTAGAGACATGTCCGAATGATATTGCTAGGTGCACGCTTTCTACGATATCGGCAACTCAACATAGGTAAAACAATCATAACCATGTCCTCCCACATTATTTCTAGGTTATAAATCGTGATTGCTAGGGAAGTTCCTTTTTTGCTTGAATCACAATAAACTTGAGCTTGTCTACTATCAACATCCCCAACATGGGTAAGATATTTTTTATAATGCTTATTGTATTGGGTTGTGTCAATTTTTTGTTTCCAAGTAAAGTCATTTCCACAATAATTACAGGAAGCTTTCCAAATAGGCTCCCCATCCTCAAATGTCTTATTTTTCATTCTCAAATGTCTTATTTTTGTGAAGTGTTTCTTGTAAGTATTATGA